GACGTGAGCGACATGCTCCTGTCAGTGTAGTAGGTATATGCCAGGTTGACAAATGGTTGGAAACGATCCACGTGTCCAATCCCTGCACAAGTCGAGGAAATCACGCGGGTAGGGTGAGCAATGTGATACAGAGATGGATTGCAAGACATCTACCCACTCGCAGATTTAGTAATCATTATCTTAATTCATCTACTATAAATAGAGGAATTCCTCCCATTTGTGGGATTGGCTAATTTCACTCTAGAAAAGCTTACTCTCTCTCTCTTTCTCTTGATTCTCAAAGCTAAAACTAGCTCGTTAATCGCAACCTGATTTTACTCATTAATACAATATCAGTGGACCTTGGATTCGTCTTGTGAGCATCCGAACCACTTTAAACGTGGTTATTCTCTCTTTATTCAATTAAACACTTCCATAATCACTTGACTTCTGAGCCCGCTCACATTTCTCACGTGCGAATAGTTGATGTCAAAATCAAGTATCAACACATACAACCCGAAAATGTATCTGATCCGCATATAAAAGACGATCAATGATTAAGCTTATATATCATCAATCATTTCGACCATGATTGCATCTTTGCAACCTTTAACAATACCTGCACCATTTTTTTTTTCTTACGACAGAGTGTCTTGGCCAACTTACACGCACTTCAACTAGTCCACCGAAACCTTGGAACCATTGCGGGTAAGAGTTCCAGTGGTTATCCTTATTAACAACTAATGAGAGATTCGAATGCATGATCTTTGTAATACACTTAAGAGTCCCTATCGATTATTTGGTCACCTAGAAGTAGTTACCTGCACCTCTGTCGACTGTGAACCCTTAGCTAGTTAATGCTATATTAAGTGGATGAATGATGTGTCCAAAAAAGTTGTACCACGCCAATTTGTATTATAAGAGCTATGTAATAGCACTCAGCTTTATATAGGAACAGAAATCTATAATCCAATCTTTCATTCTAAATCAAGATTTTTAACATAAAATTGCAATATATTGAATGCAGCTGAGGAAATAGGAGGCTGAACCGAAAACTTCTTCAACCATGTGAAATTCCATTGAGAATCCAGTAATAAATTTGTGAAATTTGTGGGCATAAATGGCTGACTTTCAACATTTCCCTCGTCATATATTGCACATGTGATGTGTTTTCCAATTCACTTCCTTCTTCACTTGGATGGCCCAAAGTTCTGACCCGAGAAGTCCAATGACGGATCCAAGATTTTTGTCGAGGGGGGCTTTTGTGCCTCCATCATTGTTTGAAATAATTAGTAAGAACTTTAAAAAATCACAAAATCTAAGCAAATAAAATAATACAATATTAAAAACCTCAGAGAAAAGAATACAATAACGTAATACTTTCCTACATGAATAAAAATGAGAAGCAAAATATTGAGTAAATGTGTTAAGTAAACCTTGAACAAAACTTTTTTAATTTAATTTTTTCTTTTGGCTTCAAAGATTATACTATTAATTAATAACTTATTGATAAAACGTAGATAGTAACTTAAATTTCTTTAATTATTTTGGGTACCAGAATGATGACATTTAAAATGTAGGAAAGTGGGGTGTGAAGGATAAAAAATAACGTCCTTTAAAATATAATTAAGGTTTTAATTTGGGAAAGCAAATTCATTCTTAGACACAAAATACAAAATAAACTCACAAGATCCATATTTTTTCCTCTCAAATTAGAATAAAAAACCTCCACCAAAAACAAAAAAAAAAAAAAAAAGAAAAAAAGAAGACACCATAATTCAACCCTAAAATAAAATAAATTGAAACGAGCAATACACATACCTAAAACTGATAAAACAGAAAACAAAGCTAATTGTGATACCTTGAGTAGTGAAAGCTTCAACAATTTCAATCTTCAAAAGTTTTAAGATTGAATAGCATGAGGAAGAGAAAAAGATAATGATGGAGTAAAAAATTTTGAGGATAAAATCATAAAAAGCAGGTAGAGCCGTGAAGAAGAAGAGTGGAGAGAGTATTAAATTTTTAATTAATCTTTGGAATCCTAAAATTATCGGTTGGATAAGAGGTCTAATGGCTAACCCTATTAATAATTGAAAAAAGACTCGAATTTAAAACCTCTTAACTAATACACTCAAGAGTTCCCATCGAATTACTCGACCACTCAGGGGTTAGTTATCTTCAGGAATATTCGACCATGACTGCATCTTCAACACTTTCTAGTAAAATCTGACTATCATTATATGACGCAGCAGGAATTTCAATTCCTGAACGGCCGAGCCAAACAGTTCAAAGGAATGTTATATTATGCAGCTAAATAATATTATCTAGAAGAAATAAGGAAATAAATTTGATTTAAATAAAAAAGTTTAAAATATTTTTAATTAATTAGAAAATAACTTTAATTTTTTTTTTAATTTAAAGCAGTAATTAAATCAAATAAATTATTTTTCCTAGATTACAATAGATCACTCAACCCAATCAAACCCAGATTTCATAATTAATTAATAAATATTAAGGGGGCGTTTGGTTCGGGTGTATCTGTCATTACTGGGGGTAAGTGATCTTATATTATTTGATTACCATATTTGGTTGTCAAGTAATATAAGATACCGATAATCTTTAAATACTAATAGTAATTACTATTGGTAATATTGGAGGTAATCTGATTACCTCCATTTTCTTAGGTTTTTTAAGATTACCAGGGTTATCTTTTTTTGTTATAATTTTATCCCTTATTATTAAAAATTTTGGACAATAATGCCTCTATTTTAAAAGAAATTTACAATAATATCTAATTTCAATTTTACCCTTGTTTAATTAAAATTTTGGACAATAATGTCCTTATGTTTAAAACAATTTACAGACCACCACTGCTACCCAACCACCACCGCCGACAGTGGGCCAACCACCACCGACCGCAGCTGAGAAGTCGTCGAAATCCCTAAAAAAGAACCAGATTCGGTAGGAGGCTCTGGGAGGCTTCGGTGTGGCCGTTTTCGGCCAATATCAGGCCAGATCTGGTCTTTAATGGCCAAATCCATCGATCTGGCCTGATATGGTTTTCGACCATCAGAATAGCCAGAAACGGCCATATCAAAGCCTCTTAGTCACTGTGAGCTACGCACGGGGACTTTCGGAGACTTCCGGTGATGGTTTGCAGTGGCGGCAGGAGGTGGGGGTGATTTCGTCATAAAATAAAGTTTTATATAAACGGGGGTGTCTTAGCTAAATCTGAAATATTGGGGGTTAAAAGAAATTATTTAAAAATTAATAATAAAAATAATATTATATTAATATTTTAAAAAGGGACAATTTAGTAATTTAAATAACATACCCACCAATTTATTCCTCATAACCAAACATATTAATATAACATACCCATCAACTAACCAAACACATTTTCCTAAAGATTCCCAATAATCTTCCAAGGTAATCTATCTTTCCAGTAATCCAACATTCTCAGTAATCTAACATTCCTGAACCAAACGCCCCCTAATAGTTTTAATGATACCCTTTTATAGAGTAAATGACATGTTCCCACCCAAGGTTCGATGAAATGGCAAGTTTCCACACCTAATTCCATAAATTCCGGATTCCCACTCTTAAATTAACAAAATATCATTTAATATAATAGTCAAAGGGTAAAATGGTCATTTCAACTATATTAAATCTGAAATGAAATTGAAAACTTTAAAATAACCCTTTACATCTCAAATTTCTCTCACAAGCACCCAAATTCACAAAAACCTACAAGAAACTCTACGAGATGTCACAGTGATTGGGGAGCTAACTTGGTTGGGAATGTTAGCGCTTTTGAAGAGGAGAGGCTGGTGAGTCTATAGGTGGTGAAAGATTGGATTTTGGTGGTCGGGTTTAGTCGGAAATGGAGGGTCGATTTCGTGAGACACAAATCGGTCGAGAAATGTGAGCAGGGGTGGGGTATGAGGGGTTTTGGTGTGTGAGGCAAGGGGAAGAGGATGGTGAAAAAACAGGTGTTCGTGACCTCTTTGACCACCCTTAGATTGGCCGGAATCCTTCATCGATGACCTTCCCCATCACCACCATTTTTCTCCCCATTGTCCCCTCACCAAGACCCGTCTCATTCCACACCCCGTTACCCTATCATTCGTCGTTTTCCTTCTTGTAATAAGCTCCGAGGCGAGTGCAACTTGCTTGGAGAGGGTTGTGTAGTTGGGAAATTGGTGGGGGAGTTTGTAGATTAGGTGGAGGGCAGGTTGGCTGTGGGAAAGGTTGGAGATGATGAACAGTCACAGTCACTGGCAACCATGAAATTAAACACAACAGTAGTAAAAAAGATCACACCAATCAATAAGAAGCTGCAATCAGTGGAAAAGGTTGCGAGCTACACCAAATCGATGCAAAAATGTGAATGTGGTGTAAAAAAAAGAAGGGGGGGAAGGGGGGCGTGGCGAATGAAAATCGACGAGCAACCACAGTCCAGGGAAGTATGAGTTTTGAAGAGGAGAAACTGGTGATGCTAATGGTGGTAATAGCGGGGATTTTTTACGTAAGAAACGATTGGAATTCGGTCCTAAAAACAAGGAAATTGTGCGAAGTTGTAGCAGGTGGCCGACAACAATCGGCGAGCAACAACGATGGGCAATGATGATATGGATTTTGTTTAGGGGGAAGTGGTGAGTCGAATGATGATGTGCGGTGGGAATTTGGCATGGGAAATCATTCGGAATCAGCCCCGAAAGATTGCAAATCGTGGTGGAGGCGGAGGCAGAGGCAAAGAGGTGGAAAGATTTGAGATATGGAGGTTAAAAAGGCAATTTACTAATTTGGGGCTAAAAATTGCTAACAACATTGGTTTAAGGGTGGAAATCTGAAATTTATGAAACTAGGGGCGGAAACTTGAAATTTCACAAAACCTTGGGCGGGAACGGGTCATTTACTCTTTTTTAAATTTAAACTTGAAACCGAAATTAGTGCTCGAGGATACAAAAACCTAGCCCAACCGGCCCAGTCCAACAAAGGCCCATCTTTATCCCTCTTTGACGCTAGAATTGTGTTCTTTGTTCCTATTGACATCTCTCTGTATTACGGCTGACCTTAATTACCTCACCCGTCGCTCGCCCACCTTTAACCTGATCAACCTCTGGTAAGTTTTCATTGATTTTTTTATTTAATGTTTGATTTCTTTCGTTTCCCTATGCTTTGATCGATTTCTCCTCTAATTTTATGTTAAATTTTGTTTTTTTTTTTCCGAAGCATAATTGGAAAAAATTGTTGCGCGAACGAATTGCAGTCTTTGACCTTTTTTTTAAGGCAATATGGTATGTGAGTGATGATTAAATCGGGATAGTTTATGATCTTTCATGGGATTAGAAGGAATTAAAATCAGTTGTATTGTTTTCATTTTTTTTTTTTTTTTTTTTTTAGGTTTTTGACATTATTGAAATCTGGTTGTGACTACATTTACAAGCTAAGTTTACCTATGACTTTGGCTCGCAAGAAGGTTAACTATGAATGAATTTTGAAGTTTAGAGAGTTAGAATGGTTTAAGTAACGTTGTTGTAATCTTTCCCCAGTGACATTAACCTAAATAAGAACTTCTCTTTGTGATTATGGCATTTTTGGGAGTGCATTTGTAGATAACATATCGAGTAAAAATGTTTTCTGTGAAATGTACTTTTGAAAGCGGTTCCGTGCTCTTCAAATCTAAAGGAGATCAAGAAAAAACATCTATCAAGTGTTTATGTAAACTGTACTTTGCTTTGTTTTTTCTAACCCGCGGAATCATTTCTGTCTATTTTGATACATACTACAGGTTTTAGAAATAGAAGTGTTTTTTACCTTTTTTTGTTTGACAATAATGGAAGTACACTCAAGTTCACTATTAGTCTCATTCCTATTTAATGGTGCTGCATTTAGCCTCATATTCTGTATATTCAGTTGATCTAGGTTTACAAATTGGAATTTAATCCAAAATAGGTGCTTAGTGCCATGTCACTCAGAATTTTCTTTCTTATTTTTTGCAGTTGTTCTCTAGTAATAGATATGCTGTATTTGTTAAAAATGCATGATATAATCGCCTTTGTTGGTGAGAATTATCATAATTAGTGATAATTGAGCAAAACTAATGGAAAAGTGTGACGTTAGGCAGCTGATCACAGCAGTTTCATATATATGGATTCTGCAATACATATTTGAACATTCTGTTGTGTTATCAATATCATCCTAGTATCTATTTTGTGAGGGAGAAGAATTGACTTTGATCTATTAAGCCTAATTTTAACGTCGTAGGATAAAAAATAGAAGACCGATGAGTGCAACCAGTACAAGACCTTCTGCCTCTGTTACAAACACTGTCACTGTAGAAAATGCAGAGAGCAGTCAATCTCAAACTCTGGTCCTGCGGCTGAATCGAAGGAAGAAGAAGGTGTCATGGAAAGATGGAACTGTAGACAACGAATTCATGCAAAAGAAGAGTTCCAAGAAGTGCTGCATTTTCCACAAAGAGAAGCCGTTTGACGAAGATACCAGTGATGATGAGGAGCATGACCATAATCACCATCATCATCATAAGCATGACCATAATCATCATGACCATAATTCCAAGGATGCTGGTGGAAGCTCAACCTCTGTATGATTGATTGATTCGACGACGCAATCCATGTTAGTGGACACTGCCAGGTATTGTCCTTGTGTAAAGTTTGGATAACAGGAAGAATTTTATTGATAGGAAAATGATTGGAATATTGATATTCTATTAAAAGCTGAAACTGGGTATCTATGAAATTTTTTCTTTTTCATATTATTGAAATTCAAGCATAATTTGTCAACTGTGTTTTCTTTCTTTTGTCCAAGGAGATAGATGACAGACTTTTGTATCCTGGATTTGATCATATTAGTAAAGGTTTATTGGATGTACATTTCCTAATTTCATTATCAGTCCAGTATGAGATCATAACATCCTTTCTAGGTTTACATACAATTACATTGATCGTTATGTTAGATGCATGCAATTCCAAGTTAATCCGAGATAAAAAGGATTTCAATTCTTATTTTCCTTGCGCATTCGAGTACTAGGTGACCTTGACAAGATGGTACTTGTGATATTTGGCTTGTGTTGCTGTTTATTTGAGTTTAATGAATGTTTGAATCTTTCACTTATTTGATAGGATGGTTGAGAGATTATCTATGGTTTAACTCGAGGTTTTTACATGGACACCCTTAAATTTAGTGAGAGAAACAAGAAGATTCACAGGTTTCATAATGGAATACTTACCCCCTTATAATTGACAAATATTTTGTTAAAAGCGAATTCGGACAAAGGACCTGTATACATTGACTAATATACCCTTATTTTATCTTTTTCCTTACAACAAAAAGAAGCTAATATTTGATCTTTGTCATATGATCAGATTATTAATAAATTTTGACAATTTGATAAGATATTTGCGAAATAAAAAACTTGCTTTTTTGCATTGTGTGTGATGTGTATTACTTTTTACAAACATCATTCAATTACAAAGGTGTAAGTGTTTCATTCTGAAACTTTTGGGTCTCCATAGTTCACTCACCAAACTGCCAATGGTTAATAATTATTTGGCAGGAATTGATAATGTTTTTTTATAAAATTAAAAGATTGTTATTTATACATAGGATTAGGGATAATGATAGAAAACCCCCATGTGTTTCAACTAGAATTCCTCACTCTTTTCAGAAATAGGAACATAACCCCCATTTGGGTTACCATCCGTTCATAAAAATCTGTGAAATTATGAAATGACATTTTTGCCCTTCAATAGAATGCTAAACTTATTATTTTTTTGGTCAATTTTCTTTTTCACTCAAATAAACTGATTTTTTTTTTTTCAATTTTCTTTTTTATTCAAATAAAATTTCTTAATATATATTTTAGTTTAAGATAAATTGTTTTCATATTTTTAATCCACTTTCTGTTTCATCTGATTACTTTATCTCATTCCAATCCGAATTTTACACTCCAAACAAATTTATTATTCTACCTTTAATCTAAATCTACAAAACTCAATAAAAAATACATTATAAAACATAATTAATTACAACCCTTCAATCTCCAAATTCATGGAATCTAATTTCTTAAGAAAAATTGATAACAAATTGAAGAAATAAAAAAATTGAAGCTTCATAGTGGTGGCCAACCACTAGATCAAAAAACAGATAAGGAAGAGAAGAAAAGAAGGAAAGAGAAAGAGGATGAAGGATGAGAACGATGGAAGAGAGAAAAAGAAAAAAAAAAAAAGCGAAGGAATAAGGAGAATAAACTTATTTAGGGTTTTTTTTTTTATAAAATCTGAAAGTCAATAATACCCTTTATAACATTGAAAAACTACAAATATACCTTATTATATGTTAAAGTTAACTGACAGATTCAACGGAATGGGGTTATGCTCCTATTCTAACAAGAGAGGGGGCTCATTCATTTATTCAAACACATAGGGTTTTCTATTATTATCCCTTTATAAAGATTGAAATTTCGGGTCTGTTTGATAGATTATTTAAAAAATATTATTCTTAAAAACTATTTTAAGTTAAGCTGAGTTGAATTTGATTAAATCGAATAGTATATGATTCTAAGAATGTGTTTGGTATAATAACTAAAAATTATATTAGAATTGAATAAAATACTAAAAAGTTGTTTGGTATATTTTTTGAAAACATTTTTTGAAAATATTTATATTATTTTTTTAACTCTTTACATTTGTTAATTTAGCTAAACACCCCTTACAATAAAACATTAAAAATTGACAAAAATACTCTCATCCATCCAAGCTACTGCTAGCCCCTAACCACCATTGCCGAACGACAATCGACAATCATCAAAACGGTGCATGATCGGTTAGATTTGGCTGGCTGTACGTCGATCTGAAAAAAAGGGTCAGATCTATGGTCAAAATCTGACCGTCGTTAATGGCCAAAATCTGACTATCATAAACAGTTAGATAGATCTGCCCATTAATGTCAGATCTAGTCGTTTTCGACCAGATCGGCATACAACTTGTTAGATTTAGTCTATTATGTGTCATTTTAGCGGCGGACATTGGTGGTCTTGGGTGGATAATTTTCAGATTGGAAAAAGTGAAATATAATTATTTTTAATTGAATAGAGTTGAAAAAATATTTTGAGTTTAACATAATATAATAATAGAAAACAAATCATCCCTTTCTCCATTTTCAATAAAAATTGATTAATTTTTATAATAATGATATGAATAAGTAAACAAACACATATTTTACTTTTAAAGCAAATAGAGCAACAAAAAAAAAAAAAAATTCAATAGGCGAAAATTCCGGAAATTAAATTTACCCATCATGATTAATATTTGGTAAAAGAAAGAAAGGAAAAAAAAAAAAAATTTGCCAGCGAATCAACAATCATTTTGGTTGCAGTACAGCTACTAAATTCCTAATTCTAGGCATGTGCATTAATTAGGTAGCGCGCGTCGTATACGTGGCCGACAAAGTCAGGTGTGCTAACTTCCTACTCAAGAGTTTAAATTCCCCTTATAAAGAAACGAAGATGTACGGGCCTAAGTTAGGCCATTGACTAGTGACATTGTCTGTTTCTGTTCACGCGAATTTAAATTGCACAGTGTCGTACATTATACAGCTGTCAGCCACCTGGATGCCTCCAAAAACACAACACGAGGTAATCATTCTATCATAGTGTGCCAGCTCATCGCTAGCCACGCTTAGGTTCCATTGGATCCTGTCATAAATATTCTGATGACCATTTTGTTGCTCCATTTTATTATTATGTTATAATTTTTAATGTAATCATAATACTTTATTTTATTAATTTATGTTTTATTCCAATTTTTTCTATTTTCAAATTAACTATTTACTTTGTCATAGTTTACAGATGAAGAGGTTTTTGGTATACTTATAAACCATTTTTATTATGTTCAACATTCGTATTGTTATTTGTTTATCATAATTTGTATATCAAACATACATCAATTTCGAGGAATCAGGAGCATGTGTGTAGTTTGATAACAACAAGTCACTAAAATGACTAATAATAAAAAACAAGAAAATTTTCATTGGTTTGACGGTATGAAATCAAATCAACTATATCATGTCATTATTATTGTGGGTGTTAAGGTTAAGAGGTTACAAATGAAAGATCGTGAGACTAATGGGGTACATGCTCTCAAACTTATTCTCTTTGAAAAAATCAATGTGTTTATCTCTTGAATTTTACTAATGCATAAATCAATCCCCTTGAAACTAGATTGTAGGCTTCTTTTATACCATCTCATTTGACAGTGGTTGAAAGTGAGTTTACAAAGTTACTTATTCGCATAATCCCCCTAACTAGGATCTGGTATAGCAATTTTATGTTTGTGACAGACTAGATATGCTTGACAGCTAATTTATACTTATGACAGTAATCACCTTATGAAAGAGGCAAACTCAACAGGAACAACTCATAGGATCTTGGTCGTCAGGATTATGTAGTTCAGGACATACCACACAAATCTTACCATCCGGGAATTGGGCATATCATCATTAAAATTGGTGATATAAATGATGGTTTATCTTAATATATGCTTTAGAGATGTTAAGAATACTAAATACAATATATATATATAGACTTCTATTCTAGTTTTCTTTTAAAGCATACATAATATCAGTTGCCCATTTTATTATTGATAATCATAATAATGATTATTGATTAAAGAAAAAGTTATTTTCCACATATTAACTAATTTTAATTATACGAATATTGGTAAACCGTTCATGAAAATATTTTGCTGGAAAAAGGTCAAAATAAAATAGAAGGAAAAAAAATTTCAAGGCCCATTGCGCTGTGTAGCTGTAGCATCTTTCTTGAAGTATCCGGTGGCATACAGCTGTCCGATACTTCACTGATCATTTTAGCCCCTATTGATACGGCACCGCTTTAAACGATCACAAACCTCACGTCTAACCCAAAAATGCCCTCCCTGAACTGACACTTTTTCAACCTTAACGGTCACTTACTTCGCTTAAAACAAGCAACAAGACAAATACTCAATCCGTTGACTAGCCCAAAACCGTCATTTCCTAGCAGCCAAATCGAAGCTCTTGGGGGCATTTTGGTCTCAGTTAAACAAAGAAAGCCACAAACCACAAGAGGAAGAAGAACAAGAACAAAGCAAGAAATCAACTGACTGAGCTTGCCTGCATCAGATCGAGTGAATCATGGCCGAGTCAGTGACTCGTGTCCATAGACATTGACATGGTACCTTTAGGAGGGAAGGTGAACAAGCTTAAATTAACTATCAAAGAATATACCTTTTTTTTTTTTTTTTTGCCCTTTTTACTCTTTAAGAATTGTTCACAGATTTGATTAAGTGTTTTTCATTTCTTTGTGTTTGCTTAAATGTATTTCAAATGTGTGTTTGTGCAGGAATGTTGGTTAAAACAAGTAAAGGATCAGTGTCTGTGTTGTATGTGGTGTCAAGAGAAGCCTGCTTTGGTAACTACCCAGGTTGCTCTCAACTGTACGTTTCATTTTTTTTTTCTTTTCATTTAATGGTGCCAGTTAAATTCTTGATAAGGGTTTTAAAAGGTTTGATTTGCTGTTCTTTGTTTGAAAGTTAGGGGGAAGTGGTTAAATCAGTTGAGATTGATTGAGATTTGGGTGTTGAGGGTTCTTTGTTTTTTAGGGTTGATGGTTTTTCGTTGTATAATAAAATCGAAATGAATTAATTTTGTTTTTTTTTTTGTTTCTTTTGGGGTTTTACAGACATGTTTTGTTTCCAAGGTCTGTTCTTTTGCCCGATGCAGCTTCTTTGTGGCTTCATAACTTCTGCATTTATCACATTGATGCCCCTGGGCATGAGGTCTGTCTTTGGGGATAGTGTTTGTTTGGCTATTTAATTATGGTTTTTTTTTTTGGGTGATATTAATGAATTTTTTTATCACCATTGTTTAAGAGTTCTGTGCAGTTAGGAGCTCATGAGATTTTCTTCAGATGTTCCACTGCTTAGTGTAGATGACTTAGCTGAGCAGTTGCAGAGGTGCTCGATTTTTTGGGTATGCAATCTTGTTCTTTTACCTGCATTTTTTGTATTATTGTCTTGTAATTGTCTTAAACTGAAATATTGGGGTTTCATTTTGCTAAGAGAAACCCTAGAAGACTTGGATTTTTCTTTGATAGTGAAAACTCAAGGAGAAAAACGAGTAGCTGCATGTCTTGTTAAGACGTGAATAGATATGATCAGCTTATTGATATAGTCAATGAGAATAAATCTTGATAATGTGAATGACTTACCTTGGTGATTATATAGTGGACAATTAGAAGTATTGATGTACTTGCAATGCAAAGACTTCTGTGAGAATTTTAAAGAACAGGCAACCAAATGGAGTAGATAATATTTTGAATATAGATAACAGTATGTGGAGGCAATCAGTTAAGCCGATGTTGACATGATATAACAAGGTTGTGCTTAATCTTATCTTCATTTCGTTTCTTGTACAAATTATTAAATGTCAGGGTCCCTGTCTTGAATCCAATACTTTTGAGATTCCCTTCAAGTGTTCCTTGCCAACCAACACATTTCCTTCATAGCAGAATAGTAGTAATCCTCCCCTCACTATGAAGTGAGTTCTACAGAAGATTTAACTCCCCTGGCACGTTCATACTCCTTGCAGTCTTTTTTACTGTTCAAGGAGATTAGACAATGACTTTCTGGAGATGCAAAGGGTATTCAGAAAACTTTGCAAAATGCTCTTTTAAATTATCCTATTTAGGATTGAGTATCATGCTGGTGTGAGGATCTGTAAGGGGTCCTGGAGTCTCAAGCCAGTGTACCCAGCCTCATCATGCCATATGGTGGGTGTTTAGGTGTGTGTGCTTAAGGTTTCTAAATGGTTATTTATTTCTGATTTCTATATTTTTTAGCTTGCCTACTTAATTAGAGAATCCATGCCATCTATTTTTCCTTTGCATCGTACTAGTGTAAAGATCTTGATATTTGTCCCTACCCACTGTGTTAAGCAAATTTCTCTTCCGACAGCTGACACTTGCATTATTCTTTCCTGTTCATTACCCATACTCTTACTTAAAGCTCATTTTTTTTTTTTTTTTTTTTTTTTTGGAATTCAGACTGAAAAGGTACTGTGCCTGGGAGTGACTGCTGGTGCTTACCCTTACACTCTTTGCAGTATGTTCATAAAGTTGACTATCTTTTTGTGTTCTGAAATTTTTCTTCATGATGGATTTATGTATTTTACAATTTGGCAGATGAAATAAAGAGCGGGTGCTTGATTAATACTTGTCTCCCCTTTTGCAAAGCACCTTCTTGGGCAGAGTGTCTTTACCATAAGGTTCTCATCTCCACTTATTAAATCATAGCATTTGTGATTGAGAAAATTAATGGGTCAGCACTCACCAGTTAATTATTATATCATAAAACTGACACGCTTCTGTATAAAAATGGATATTGAGAGAGCAACTTCAGCAATTCAAGGTTTATGTGTATAGATGGGAATAAATATGCCCATTTGACCAAGAAAAAAAAAATGCATCATCCATGATGGTTGCAGTTAAAAGATAAAAATTAAATTTTATTAGGTTGTTTTAATTCTTCTTCAGGTGTTAATGAACTTGTTGTACTTCTATGGAATGTGTGGAGTGTTGAAGGTGCCTTCCTCAGCGAACTCAGTAAGGTACATTGGATCGCCTTATATAGAGTGGTATAATGTATCTGACTGGCCATATGATCTAATAACTTAACAACTTTTCTGATAGGATTTAGGAGTGTGAACATGGTGAAGAATCAGACATAATTCAAGCTTGCCGACGGGTAAGCATAAACCCAGTTCCTATCAGTGTAATAGTCCAATCACTGGGTCTTTTCCAATATTTATGTGTTGGCAAGGCAAACACCATATTGGTTTTTACTGTATGTTAAAACAAGACATTCAAATTGAATGGATTTTGATACTTTCTGTAATGTGTATACAGGTTTTGGATCAAGGCCAAAGTTTAAATGTCATGCGCTTTCTTCAAGCAATTAATGAGTAAGTTTTCGTTACTTCAATGCATATAGTTTCGCCATTTCAACTCATACTTATATCTGTCCTACAGGGATGTTGTGCAAGGGATAAAAAACTGTGTATTTTGTTACAATGCTGTCATAAATTGATTTCTGAATTTAATGATAGGAGGCATGACCTTACAGACGGCTTGCAGAATCTGCAGTGCAAAATGCTTATTTTTGTGGGTGAAAGTAGTCCATTCCATGCTGAATCCGTGTTTATGAGTGCCGCAATGGGAAAAAAAAGCTGTGCTCTAGTCGAGGTAGAATGCTATTCACATTGTTGATTCATTTCTTGTTTCTATTTTATTTATAAAAGTAAATTGTCCATGTAAGTGCAATTCTGATCAGTAATTGTTTGACTATATAAATAGGTTAAGTTTTCAATAATTTATCATTAATGCAGAGTCACTTGAAGTCACAGACGTTGCAGAATATGAAATTAGCATGCACAAGGAAATAAATGGGTGCAGATTTTCTGAAATTAAATTTTAAAAGAAACTTTCTTTTCATGTATTTTACTTTTACAGACATTTCTAGAAATAGGCCAGTAAGGTTGATTAAGTGGAGGAAACTCTGTAAGTTACCAAAGGAAAAAAAAGAAAGAAAAGTAGGAAGTTTGTGTTGATGTTCTTGTTTGTGTCTTTGACAGGTTCAGGCATGCGGCTCATTGGTAACAGAAGAATACCCATTAGCCATGTTGATTCCAATCGAGTTCTTTCTAATGGGGTTCGGATACTATAGACAACCACACTTTGCTTCTTCATCAAGCAATGGCTCAAACCCTACTAGCCCGTCAAACCACTCTTGCATAGCACCGGAACTTCTTTCTCCCGAAAGTCTAGGTATCAAGCTAAAACCGATCAAAACGCGCGCAGATATTGAAATTTGATGCTATACAGTACGAGTTTCCATCACACAGAGTGATCTCATTAACTTGCCTTGTCCAATCAGAGGAAGAAGGATAGCTTATTCTTTCATTGTGTTTGTAGATGTATTAATTCTTTGTTAAAATAGTGGCGATGAAGGTATTATATTAGCCTAGATACAATATATATAGTATATATATATATCATAGTCGGAACACCATTCTTTAGAGAGGGAGGATTATTCTTTTTCTGTAACCGATGTCCAAGTTGTACACATTACCACAACACTGTAACTTTTAATTTTTCCAGTACAGCTTATTGAGTAATTGAGAGAGAACATTATTTTCTTACTCGTTGATGTTGTTATTGATAAATATATTTTTCTATATTTTAAATCAAAATTTGGCAAAACAATTTTGGTTCTATCTTCTTGTCCCCTAATGAGATTAAAAGTAGAAGAAACAATATTTATAGAATCCAGCTTCTCTTTTGGAAAAGAGTTAATTAAATCTTTTAACAATTCATTATCATGATCCAATCATTTAACATCAAAGGAATATTTTATTGGAATCGCTAGGCTAGTATAAATGTTATACGAATGAGTGAGTACATTTGAGCAATGTTTTAATAACAAACCCGAGGTGAAGCCTGGTAGAGTGGCCGGGTCTCGGGTTGAACTGGTAATGTTTGAAATAAAACCCATCTCACCTGTCTTCTGTTCACTCTGCCAATCCCGGCAACTTGTTTTGGTTGATTGATTTTTTCCTTTTCCGGTTGATTCACTCACCGAAAATCACTTCCTTCACCACCTTTGAACTCATCGACCCTTCCTCTCCAAAAGCTCCAATATAATTGTCATCGAATGCTCGTTAATTGCCGTCCATAATTCTAGGGTTTAGGGTGAATAGTTGAAAATTATAACCCGTCTGGCAAAGGCCTCGAGTCTCGGTTCAACCGGCCAGGCCGGGCCGAGTATCAAAGCACTGCATTTAAGTTAAAATTCTCAGCCCTTCAAATAAAAATAAATCAGTATAAACGAAGATATAAATGTTAAAAAATCAATAAATCAATATAAGAAAAAATAAAAAAGTTAAAAATCAATTGTCATGGAAGCAAAATTATATTTCAAAGAACAAAAGAACATAAATTGATTAAAAGAATCAATGAATTTTACATTCGGAAGGCCTTGTTAACAAAGAGACATTAAAGTAAAATTAAAAAAACTCCGTCTCTCCTGCATGGGATTGAACGTGAGCATAAGCTTGGACCCCCAATTGAAATTTTGGGTTTACAGATTCTCTTCCACCTTGCCGTGCATACCTTAAACCTTTCTCTTCATGCTTCCCCGACACTTTTCTGTCTCTCTTCTTGAAAATACTCTTTCCCTTCACATTCATGTCTTTGAATATGAGATTAAAAACATCAGTAATGAAACATATATCTCTCCCCGTCTTAGCTTCTTGATCACCATCCAAGTTTGCTCCGTCTTAGCCCTGCCATCTGCCGTAAGCTTCCACGTTATCAAAAGTCTCTTCCCTTCACCAGTAGGGAATAACCTTATTATTATTGCACTGATCTTGTCCTAAAATTTTACTCGCTGTTTCAGAGTTTTTGTTGATCTTCTTGCTGAGTTTACTTCCGAGTATAATAATTGGGTCGCAAGGAAGTGGAAGGGTTTGAGTACTGGTTGAAGGAGCAGGAGTGCTATTTGAATGTCATTTTTACTATCTGTACGAAGTAATAAGGTAGGAAATGAATGAAAAAATGAATACAAAGCCTTTATACGTACACAAAGTTCACTTTGCTGATATCACATATATGTCCCTGATAGACCACCGTCTACAAGTTGAAGGGGCGTAAAGGGCTCTAACGACACTAACGGCAGAGAGGTGGTAAAGGAGAGTTAGTTATGGGAATCTCCACGTGGCAGAGTATAGGGATTGATTAGAGTGGGGATATTTTAGTAACATATTTAGTATATATGGTTAAGAATAGTCTTGGGGAAGGGTCAAGTATTTTTCTTTTATCAATGGAGGCACCTAACTCCTCCCAACTGCCAGAAATTATCTGGTTATTGTGTTACTTTGTTGTTTTGATCTGATTTGCACTTCATTTCTTACTTAAATACAATATCAATTAACATAAGAATTGTGGATTCTCTTGTTATTTGTTATTTGTGTGTTTGTTGCTTGGAATTGGTTCATTTTACCAGGTGTTCCTATCAAATTGGTATCAGCCAAAATGGAGAATAGAATGGGAGGTATGGAAAAGATGACACTACAACATTATATACATATAGCTACGAAAATTAGCTACAGAAAGGAAAACTGTAGCAAATACATATTTACAGCTACCAAAGTCAATATTTGTAGCTAATTTAGATAATTTTAGTGATAAGATTTCCTCCCTCGAAACTAATATTCATTTTTTGCTTTAACTTATTAAAATTAGGGGTGTGGAAATTTGGTTAATCAAACTGGATGAGGTGTTTTTTGAATCGAACCAGTTTTTCGATTCAAGCAATATGCCAAACCGAAACCGGACCAGATTACCCCATAAACCAGTTTCTAACTAAATTGATAATTCGGTTTGGAAACCGGTTAACCGATTATTCAAACTTACCCAAAAAATCAAATCCAACCTGTAGAAAGCAATTTCACCAGAAAATAAAAAAAAAAAAAAAAAAACCACAACCAAGAAACAAATTATAATCATTCACTTCTTCAAGTAACATATACTAAAAATATAAATCGATCATTAAAGTATTAAACATAATATCACGCACTTCAAAATTCTCACCCCACACACCCCAAAATCAAAACTTTCAAAAAAGTTCAAACCCACCACCAAAACGAATCAAAAGATTCAAAACCAACAAAATACACAAAAATTAAAAGAATCGCATATGTGAACTTGAAGATGCTTTTGCTTGTGATTTCTAGTCGTGTGTCGTCGTGGTTTCGTGCTAGTTGAAGACTGAAAATGGCGACCAGTTCGTTATCGCCATAAAATGCAAATCTGCGGAGGTAAAGGCACAGTAAAATGAAAAGAAAATTAACTGATTAAGGGATTAATGTAAAAAATAAAAGTGAGAAAACAAACCCTAGAAATTTGAAAAGGAAGGAGAGAATCGGAGAGAAGTGAAGGGAATCACCGAATTGGAGAGAATATGGAGTGGAGTTTGTTGCGTTGACACTTTGACAGTGAGTAAAAATAAATGTTTGAAATCAGAGAGAGGGAAAATTTTGTGGAAAGAGGGAACGAAAAGGAGGAAATTTTTAAGTTTAGGGATTTGGGTATTTATATATGCAAAACCGGTTTCGGTTAACCACTTTAAATTAACCTTTGAACCGTTAACTGAACCGGTTTTTGGATTTATTCAATTTTGCAAACCGGAACCGAACCGATTACTCTAGATAACCGGTTTTGATCCAGTTTCTCGATTCAGTTCAGTTCAGTTTGGTTTTTTTTTTTTTTTTTTTCAGCCATAATTAAAATCGTGACAATAACTAGTCATTTACTACAATTTATTAGCTATGGTAAAACATTGTAGCTAATTAATGTATTTAGTTATGAACATTTTATTTACATGGCATAGAGTATCATTATTAGCTACGAGTTTAACTATATAGCTATTATTTGTGCATTGGCTATAAAATATTGAAATTTGTAGCTAATTAAGGTATCTAGCTATACAAATTTTATTTTCATGGTAGTAACAATATTATAGTATCATTATTAGTTACTTGTTTTAATATATAGCTAATATGTGTGCATTAGCTATAAATTATTTGAATTTGTAGCAAATAAAGAATGTGAAAATTAATTTGTTATAATCCTTATAGTATGCATCTATAAATATTATAATTTATCCTATGAGTAATTATATTTTTATTACTTATGAATTAAATAGTTATAATCAAATATAATATAAATCAAACTGCTAAGGTCAATAGTAAATTGAACCTTCAACAAATAGTTAACTTAAAAGAACTCGTCACGGACCTAGGAGTGTGGGCTTTTGTAAAATAAAATTGTATTTTAAAAGATCTTTGAGATTTTTGTCTTTTCTATGATGACTTAAAACTAACACTTTATGAAATATAGGTGATTTTAGGTATGAGATATGAGAAATTATAAAAATTGGTTATGTTACATATTTGTATATATGGACTTGTATGTATGTTTTAGATGATGATGATGATAGCTTTAATAAACTATTTAAATTATTTATACGTTTGATAAAAAAATGTTTGGTTGTATGGAAGATCAGGTTTATATAAAACTTGGTGCATATATCAAAATAACTAAAACCACCATTAATATATTTATCAAAACCTGCCTCACTTCATAAAGTATTAATATGCAAAGCAAATTAATTGAACTGTATAACCATAAAACTTCATAAGACTGAAAGCATAGTTTGTAAAATAAAGGAATTGAACTCAAGTTGAACAATCATTTAAAATATAAAAACTGCATCAAAAATCTCTAAGCTTTCAAACAAACATCATATGAAAGATTAAAAAATATGTAACAATCAATCTAATAGTCTATATGAGCAAATCTTCATCATCAATGTCACTATCATCAATGTCTTAGCATCTCTCTCTTCATCAATACTATGACCATCATCAACAATTGCACTACTAGAAGCACATATCTCATTTCTCTTCCAATTGATTTAGTCACCATCATCTTTAAACATATTTGAAATTTGAGGATCTATTTCAGAGCTGTCTTGTTGGAAAGCTTCTTCATCAATTGATGATTTTTCACCGCATGGTAGGTCATAAAAGCTATTTGGACGACCTTTTAAAATAACAAGCCAATTAGGATTGGAACCATCATTAACATAGAATACTTGTTGTGCTTGAGATGCAAGCACAAATGGTTCATCCGTATATAATATTCGAGTTGTATTAACACTAACAAAACCATACTTATCATTCTTCACACCTCTTCCAATCCCATGAACATCCCACCAATCACATTTAAATAGCACAATTCGTTTTTCATTCATGTATTGAAGTTCAATTATTTCATTAAGAACTCCATAATAATCTATATTTTTATCCTCCACCATTCCTTTTACCAAAACACCACTATTTTGCTTTACCCTTTTTCCTTCAAGTTGCTTAGTGTGAAACCTAAAACCATTTATGATATAGATTGAAAACCTTTGTATACCATAAAAAGGACCACGAGACAAAGATAATAGATCTTCATTTACACATGTACTCCCTTCTTTATACGATTGTACAACCTATTAAAAAGAAGACAAGGAGAAAGAGTAAGAATTAAATATCAAAATGCGCAAAAATAAAATTTCACAAATGAAAACCTTACT